TAATAATCGATTCAAAAGAGTATTTGCATCGGTTATTAGGAATAACCGATGCAAAAGGTCTTTAACATTTGAATCGGTTATTCCTAATAACCGATGCAAATACTCTTTTGAATCGGTTATTAAGAATAACCGATTCAAATGTGTAGCGATACGCGAATTTTTTTTTCTTTTAAATCGTTTATTTTGCTAACCGATCCAAATGTAGGATTTATTTGGTCCTTTTTGTAGTAGTGATCTACCATACTATTCACCTTCTCACACTCCGACACAACATGTTGATCAATGTTTTAACATAAAATGTAAATTAGGAATTAAATTATATGTACCTGGAAATCCTATGAACGTAGTTAGGGATGAGGCCATGATTCTGATTCAGATCGAGTCCCCGTTTAGGGTGTATTGTTATGATGGCTAAGGTGAGGATGTGACTCAGGAGAATAGAGAGGCAGAGGGGAGGCGTAAGATTGGGGTATTAACCTCTGCCTAATGACCTATACACACACACACACACCTACATACATACATACATACATACATACATACATACATACATACATACATACATACATACCCAAAGGGATCCCTAACAGCTTGTCGTCCCTTATCTCTCTCTCTCTCTCTCTCTCTCTCTCTCTCTCTCTTTTTCCAAACATAAATTTTGTGTGCATGATCAAAAAATAGTAAAGCTGCATTTGTCTGTATTTTTTATAGAGTTCGAGAGAATAGAAAGGGACAGAGAAGCAGAGAACTGCCCCCATGCTCTCAGGGTTTGGTTTGGTTTTGCTCCTAAAATATTTAAATCATTGATTATCCGGTTTAATTTTATGCAGTTTTTTTATTTCAGTTTTTTAGAAATAAAAAATTACAAGAATTAAAAAAATGTAACCACAATAACTCGATGAAGTAAAAACAAAAAACTACGGAGTATATTTTTTTGGACAAAGTAAGTTCTTTTAACGAAGTAAACCATTTTTTGTAAAAAAAAGCTCCATGTTAAAACTTTTTTAATGATGTAACAACCAAGTAACTATTAAACGAGCAACTAAACTTTATAAATGAAACAAAAACCAACTTTTAAAAAACAAATCATCTTTTAAAAATAGTAAGTAGTCTAAGTACAATGACAAAGCAAACTCGATCTTTGAATTGAATATTTGAAGAGATCAATTCTTGAAATCTAATAACAAAATATTTATACTTTTTCACTATCTTGAAATTCTTGAGGCATTTTAGTTATTTTCTTCAAGTCCCACTTCATATATATGAATAAAAGATAAAGAAAAGAAACACATTTTTAAAAATACTTTTAAAATTCTTACTCCTTAATATACTTCGTTTGAAAATACTTCGATTCTGTTTTCAAAGTCTAAAACCAAAACCAAAACTAAACCAAAACGATTCAATTTGATTTTTTAGTTTTCGATTTTTTGGTTTTGTTTATTTTTTGGCAAAATCAGGTCATTTTTTATTCAATTTTTTTTATCTTTACGACCCACACCTACATCCACCCAACTGTTTAAAATTATCTCCTTTGTTGGTTTTAATACCTCACAATAATATTGAATTCGTCACCCAAACTGGTCTCAAGAACTATCGGTCCAAGACCATACTGATCTCAAGAATTACTTTGAACCCATCTTTTCATGTCACAATCGCAATTTATGTGCTCTATTCTCTTTGCTCCTCTATAACTCAAACCTTTATTCATAGGCGCCAACGGACGAGCATTATGAATACGAATGACTCCCGAGGACCGTAGCTAAGTTGGCAACGCAATGGTTGTTAAGAGGTTAACCCTCGTGTTCGATTCCTCCACATGCGTTACGAAATAACTATAATAAGCATAAGACATAAAGTCTTTCCAAGTTAGATATTTGTATATTCTATTTTTCTCAATCAGTCTAAAATGGGCTCTTGTTTTACAAAATGAAATGTGAGGCAATGTAGAGTGTAGCTAGCTAGGTCAATAAGAGGGGAGGGTTTGAAATAAGTTAATCCACCATCCCCAATAATCCAATCCCCCTTCCCTTCCGTACACCACAAGCATAAATAAATAACCCCCAACGACCTCGCTAGGATATGATTCCCCCCTGCCTCCTCAATGCCATCCTCACCCTCTCAAAAACACTCGGACCAAACCATAAAATCACCATAGCCACCACGTCTCCATTCCCCCAAGTACGTACACACAATAACACTACATACTGCCACTGCTCAGTCCCAGTTCCCCTCTCTCTTCTCTCTCTATCTCTCTCTGGTCCACACAAATAAACTCTCTCTCTCTCTCTCTCTCTGTTCCTCGCCTTTATTACATTGTTCTCTCTTTTCTTGAATTTCAGCCCTCTGTTCACACTTTCTCTTCAACCCCTGCACCTTTTCCCTCTGATTCCTCATCAATTCAAGAAAGCAACACAGACCCAGAAAACAATTAAAGTCTGGGAATCCATTGTTATGCAGCTTGATCACGTCAACGTTAATGGAGGCGCGACCCCGTCCAGGAAAAGCTCTATGAGTAGCAGCAACCGTACTAGCATCAGCCGCCTCTCTTTTGAGCTTCCTGCCAGCTCCCCGGAGCAGGGCAAGGCGGGGCTGAGTCCCCGGGACTTCAGCCTCGTCCGCCAAATCGGGAGCGGGGACATCGGGAGGGTCTACCTCTGCCGCCCTCGCGGCGGCTCCGGCGAGAAAGTGTACGCCATGAAGGTGGTGGACGGCGAGGCTCTGGCGGTGAAGAAGAAGACGGAGAGGGCGGAGACGGAGAGGAAGATCTTGAGGATGTTGGACCACCCTTTCTTGCCCACTCTCTACGCTGAGTTTCAAGTCTCCCATTTCTCCTGCGTCGTCATTGAGTACTGTTCCGGCGGCGATTTGCACTCCCTCCGCCATAAACAGCCCCGTCGCCGCTTCTCCCTCCCCTCCGCCAGGTACATAACTTTCTTGCATTCTTTTTTTTGGATGTGCCAAACAGGGCATTCTTTTCCTCCCAACTTTCTAGGCAGCCCTTTTTTCGGACCTTGAATTTTGACATTTTCTGGGATTTTCCTTGTTTTGTTCACCTTTCATTTCTCAACAATGGGATTTTACCATTTTTGTGCAATTTCATATGTCAACTCTGATGGGATTTTATTTATTTAATTTTTATATTTACCAGGTTTTATGCAGCCGAGGTTTTGGTGGCTTTAGAATACCTTCACATGTTGGGAATCGTATACAGAGATCTAAAGCCGGAGAATGTGTTGGTCAGATCGGACGGTCACATTATGCTGACCGATTTTGATCTCTCTCTGTGCTCCGACGTGGTAGCTTCCGTTGAGTCGCCGGAGCGCTCTGCGGCGGCGGCAGCTCGTATTCCATCTCCGTTTTCTTGCATTCCCGGTGGGCTCTTCAGGTCGAAGAAGATCCGGACGGTTTCCGACAGCCCATTGTTCGTGGCGGAGCCAGTCGCCGCCCGGTCGTGCTCCTTCGTGGGAACCCACGAGTACGTGGCGCCGGAAGTGGCGGCCGGCGAGTCCCACGGGAACGCCGTTGACTGGTGGGCCTTCGGGATATTCCTCTACGAGATGATCTACGGCCGGACCCCGTTCGCCGGCGCGTCGAACGAGAGCACGCTTCGGGGCATCGTGAAGAAGCCGCTGGCGTTCCCCGACGAAGCGCCGGCCGGGGCGAGTGAGGCGCACGCGCGGGATTTGATAACGGCGTTGCTGGTCAAGGATCCGAATAAGCGGCTCGGGTCGAAGCGCGGGGCGACCGAGGTGAAGGCCCACCCGTTTTTCAGGGGGTTGAATTTCGCGCTTATAAGATCCGTGACGCCGCCGTCTGGCCCGCGGTTCAGGAGAAACAAAACGACGCCGTCCATTCGCGGGGACAGGCAACATCTGCCGCCGTTTGATTTCTTCTGAAGAAGACGCGACAGAGCCTTCGACGGGTAATTTGGCGAGTTGCACACACTCGCCGCCTGGTTTTTTCTCTCACATGATTTTTATTTTCCCTAGAATTAAAAAAGACAAAAAAAATTAATGCTGTAAATGGATCCGGCCGTACGTGGGTAACTTTTTTCTCTTTCCACCCTCATTTTTACCCGGCTCAAAATGAGAACGAGATAAATGTTTTCAATTTGAGTGGGGTAAAATTCTTAAGTAGGATTTTCTCCAAAAAAGAAAAGGAAAATTCTAGAGAAGGTTGTATTTATAAGCTGTGTCAATTTGATTTCTAGTCTAGATATTCCCACTTCGTTGCTAAGAACTCTTATATTAAGTTTGCACGAGTTTTAATGTAGGTAAATTCTATGATTTATGTTCATTTAATGGAACATAGTGTTTTTTGTAATATTAAAGAAGTGGGTCTTTGGCAAAAACAAAAAAAAAAATTACATGCAAGCTCATGAAAAATATGAGAATGTTTACATTTTAAATATACATCTTGGGACCATGTAAGCATCATTTTCGAGCTAAACATAGGGGGTGTTTTTCTGTGCTGATGCTTATTGACTTATTGTTTGTTAGACTTAAGTAAGAAAGAACATTGTGAAGCAGTGTTAAAGAAGAACTCGATAGTATAACGAATCGCATACGAAACACTTTCAGATCAAAGTTACTTCGGGGTATACGAAAAATACTTCAATCGGATAAAACGTTAATCAACAACAAGCACTCGAAAATTCGTCACTCAATCCATACCACGAGACTCTATTTTATAGAGTCGAAAATTTTAATGATCGGACATGAACGTTACGTACGCGTACGTTCACGCGGGGAAGAAGAAAGGCGCGAGTTTGAACGAAATGTCTCCTGCAGTTTTAGGGTCTATTTCGACGTTATCCACTTGTTCGAGTCATTTACCGTTTTGGACTCCGATCACGAAAATCTTAAGAATTTTCATAAAGAAACAACGTCCGAAATAAAAAATTCCCAAGCTGTCCACCCCGGCCAGGGGCTCTGCCCCTTGGACCCCGCCAGGGCTGTCACCCCTTGGACCCCGCTACCCAGGGGCTGCCGCCCCCGGACCCCGCAGTGAATTTTTGTAATATCGTTGAACGAGCGCAAACTCCATGCCTCCTAACTCGTTTTACAACGTATATTTAAATTCTTGTCCGATCTAAGTAAATTTAATTACACAAAATATACCGATGACACTAAAATCACCAACATTGTTGATAAGTAATTGTTTTCTTATAAGTTGCGTATAAGCTAAATATTCTTTTGTGGAAGTAAAATCACTTGAATGATAAATAGTTCATTTGGAAATATTCATAAATAATGATGGTCAATTTTGTAAATAGTTTGGACAAAACAATTAAATGAAAAATTGACTTAAAATAAGTAGATAAGATCAATTTATTTTTTCTAGCTTATAAGTAATTTATAAGTACAGAAAAAGATATGTCATTAACTGACTTATAAGTAAAAAATTACTTATAAGCAAATTTGACAAACTTATAATCTGAGAAACACCACATAATCACAAGAAAAAATGGATAGAGCAGGAACGCAAGCACACTTGTTTCAGGAAGAAGCAAATAATTTAAAGGGGAAAAGAAAAAAGTCAAAACCTTTTACACTTTACATTAAAGAATGATGCTTACATGGTCCCAAAAGCGCAAAACTTATTATTTCCTGTTGATGATAATATTGTTCTGCATAATGAGTTCTAGAAGATCAATGAAATCTTTGAATCAGATTTTATAAAGCAGTGAAACCTCTCAATAGACCTTGCTGATGCAGATCTTGTCAACGCAACAAAATCAAAGAAATCTTCAAATCAGATCTCACCAATGAACTACACCTCCACTCCAAGCTTGTTTTTTGACACTATGTTAGACATCTTTGTCGTCTTAAATGGCAAGGCAAAGAGTGATACGAGCTTATCAACAAGTTGTATTTGAGCTTATTAGATGGGCTATTATGGGCTTTAGTGAGTTTGTTACTGATGGTGTAAATTATAAGGCCCCTAAACTCGTGTATAATCCAAGACAATTTAATTCATCTTCTTGATATCATCTATGTGTTTCTTTCTCTCGTTCTTCTTTCTGTAACTCCTTTGAAGCAAGTTAGTTCAAGCGTTCATCTTCTTTATGCTCTTGCATTTGTTTGGTAGATACTTGAATTACTCATCAAATTAATTATGCATGTTCTGCATCAGAGAGCTTTTCGGTAAACAGCAATAGATATTTGAGCTTAGACTCAGACATCATGCTCTCGTTCATATTGACCTGCACCGGGTCAAGTCGTGACTCGGAGGGTCACAAGCTGAGCTGTGTGAATGCAAATGGAAGACATGGCAATAAAAGGAGATAACGTATATATATACAAATCGGGAGAATATTGGAACTTGAAAGGACATAAATGAAAGTTCGGTGGATGTATGGGGTGATGTAATTGAGTAAGAGCATATTCTCTTCAACTTATTTTTATTGAAATTGGTTTAGTTCAGATCAGAAATAACTTTTAATATAAAACATTCAGATTAGATCAAATTAAACCAGATAAGATCAAAACTTATTTCAATTAGATCAGATTCATTCATATCAGGTGCAGAGAACAAGCTCTAAATGAGAATAGAAGTAAAAGGGTCAATTAAGGAAGAAAAGTGGGACAACCAAGGGAACATGAGAAATGTCAATGTTATTTTTGGATTGTCCCAAAATAAATACATTATTTACCTTTATTTTACAATAAATCACAATCTTACACTTCTATTTTCTTAATTCATTGCCAAAAACAACTGAAAATTTTATTCTGAAAATAATGAATTACAGGTCGGGTCAGAGTATTTCATTTCGTAAAAAATACTCATTCCCTTCCAAAATGTTTGTCACGTTACGTAAAATTAAAAAAAATCAATAGTTCATTTTATTTGGAGATTAGAAAGTAAATAAAGGGTGTTGCTAAATCCCCCCTCACTTTTACTAAACTCACATCATTTATATTCAATAGACAATTTTGCCCTTAAATACGTAGAACAAAAGAGGAACTTTAGATGCAATAATCCATCTTTAAAGGGCCAAATTGTCCATTTAGCATAAAAGAGATGAAATTAGCCAAAAAAGAGTAGATTTAAACTCATAAAAATAGAATTTATATATTTAAAAATGACAAATTTTTTTGTGGACCTAAGATTTATTCTCATTTTATGAACCTTAATACATTTGTAGCATAAAAAAAGTGGCCTTTTGAAAAAAATAAAATATTCACATGCAAGCCCATAAAAATGTGAGAAAATCCACATTTTAAATATGAACTTTGTGACCATGTAAGCAACTACGTCAAAAAATTTTCAAAACAAAAGATGATTCGAATGTTATATTTTATCAAATAATTAATTAAATAAATATAAATAAATAAAATTTTTCATAATTTTTTAATAATGAATTATAGTGGAGTATTTTCTTAGACCGAAGGAAGTACATACAAATATACTTTATGTGGGAAGATATAAAAGGGGATATAGAGCTTGACCCATATATACTCCTAGAAACCTACCTCTGATATAGTGTATGGACTATGGAGTGTAGAAGACCCCATAGGGGCAATTATATGTTTGAATTTGGTCGGTTAACAAATTTATAACCGATGTCGTGTCCAAGGGAAATCATTAGATAATCACTAATAATCTGTTAAATATGAGTAGTTCTAAACAAAAAAAAACTCTCGTATTGAGAGATGAGTAATTTTGCCTGTACGAAACACGCCAGTAGAAATTGTTTGACTTTCATAATGTTCAAATAATGTTGAAGAATACTCCAAATAATGTTCAAATAATGTTTAAATTAACTATGTTAACTTTAACTTTTTTTATCAAAATTAAAAGCTTTAGCTCCAAATTAAATAAAAATGATATTAGATATTAATGAAAAAATAATTTTATTAAATTTGTTGTATAAAATATTTTTAAAATATTAATATACAATATAGTATATTATACTTGATTATAAGTTAAAGTTTGAAAATAATTGACACAAAATAATCAAAACTGGACAAATATTTAGAGACGGAGATATTATAAATAGTCTTTAATTACATGCGGTTTTCTATTTTTTACCCCAATTCTAAGATACTCCCTATTACACAAATGGTCCTCATGTTTTAAAAATAATTTCATAATTGGTCCTTCAGAAACTATTTGTGAAATAAATATTTTGTTATATTTTGCCTAAAAGATTATTTATGAAAATAGTTTTTAAAAATTGAGAATCATTTAGCATATAGTATCTTAGAATTGGAGACAAAATATAGAAAATCACTTGTAATTAGGAACTAGTTATGCAATTTAGTCTCATTTGTTCAGAAAATGTAGAAGAGCCACATGCTACTGCATCAAGATTTCTACAATACAAGAGGTGGCAAAAATGTTTCATTTTATCAAATGATTAATGAAAACATGCAGAAAAACATAATTTATCGAGAGATTGTAATAGTAAACACGAAAGAGGATATGAGATGTAAGGAGTAAGTGTTTTCTAATCTTTCCGTCCAAAAGTTATTTTTCATTCACTATTCATAAGATTAAACTTTATTTACTTTATTGGTGTATTTTGATGACTCATTTGGTCAACCCTGGTTTTGTACACTTTTTTAATGTAATTTTCGAATATATTATTTTTATTTTTTACTCCGTTATTTCTTACCATTTTCATGTCAAATACCGTAATGCATAACGGAAAGATAGTACGGAGTATTTAAATGGAAAAAATAAAATTAACGAAAAAAAGAGAAAAAAAGAGTTACCCAATATTGGGACCCAGTAAGAAATATATACTCATACTTATTTCACTTTTTGCTTTGTGTTTTTACATTCACCTGCAAAAATTGGACAAGCATGATATAGTGAACAGCATAAAGACCAATTTCGTCTGTTGGTCAATTTTAGTCTTTAATATTTAGTGTAGGATCAAGAACTAGACTCGGTATGATACTATCATTGTCCCTTTTAAAAGGATCAGATTTTAATTTTTTTTATATAAAAAAAAAGTCCTCCCACCCTCTTTATCATTGTCCCTTTTAAAAGATCAGATTTTAATTTTTTTCTATAAAACAAATCCTCCCTCCCTCTCAAAAAAGGTTGTGGCTTAGAAAAAATCACTTTAAAGAGAACTAAAACATAAAGTAAGTATTAAAATATGAGATTTATGTGTTTATTTTCTAAATAGGAGTTCGTATTGTGATAATGTGTCAATGTACATGTGCATTTTACGTAATGTACATGGTATGATGGGTAATATAAAGAGTAAATTCCATAAAAGACCCCCAGTTATAGGTCGTTTTACATATTTAGTTCCTAGATATCAAATATTACTAATTTAGTCCTCAATTATTATATCATTTTTCACAAATGGTCCTTTGCTAACATTTTTGTTAAGAACATGGATAAAATTGTATATTCATACTTCTCCCTCTCCTCAATTAAGCTTCCTCCCTCGTCTCGTGCTCTTTCCCAAACTCGTCGTTGAGTTTGAAGCTCTAAACCCAAAACTGAAATGATCATTCCTCTCTCAATTATTAGTCTTCCTGGTGGAACCTAAAATCAAAACCAATCCTTTATATATAATATTTGAGACTCGGGCTCATAGAATGTCGACACGTGGCAAGTCTACTTGGCAATTTTTTATGAGTCATCCGCCACCTTTGAAGACTTTAATGACTTGGCACTTTTATATTAAAATATAGAAAGATCAAATTCTAATTAATAAGCCTAATATATACCTTATACGACGACTAGAATATAATTACAAAGTAGAAAAATAAGAAGATAATTAGGATGAGTAATTTTTAAATTTTTTTCTAATGTATTTTGATTAATTATAATGAGTGCAATGTAAAAAAGCATTATAGTTCTTTCTATTGATAATATATGTTTATATTACGTTGTAAATCCTTTATTTATAAAATTGATATTTTAATCTTTAAGAAGCTGAGATGTGATGTTGTTTACGAGACATTTCTGATACGTAAAATATATTATAGAAAGTAAGAAGTTATTAAGTCATTCTGTACAATTAATTATGGAAGAGAATAGATATATTCGTTTTTATAATAATTTATTTTCTAATTATGCATATTTTTCTATTCAATTGTTACAAAACTTTTAAAGGTGTGTTTGGTGAGCAAGAAAATATGAGTTTTAATATCTCTAGATATCATAATCCTCTTCTGGTATTTGGTGAAGCCAAAAGAGTTATCAAATTTAATATCTACAGATATCATACATCTTTAAAATGGATGGTTTCAATATCTCCCGAATTTGGGAGATATCAACATGGGGATTTGATATCTCTCTCAACTGTTGATTATTCTTCGCCACTCACTACCATTGTCACTGCAAACCACTCCTGTTGTCAGTCATCCTTGCTTATCACTAATTAAATCTTGAAATTTAATCTCTCCAAATAAAATCATTTTATATTCTCTGAGTTTTCATAACCCACATCTTATAATATCTACAAATTTTACCAAATTGGCCATAAGTAATTAATAAGATATTTCTTTACTTCTAAATAAATTTCATATTTTTTATGATATATTTAAATCGAAGCAGTCAATTTGATTATATTTATTAAAATATTCATGTAAGTTAATAAACCAAAAAATTATTTTAAAACTACAATGAAACTTTATAAAACATGAAAATATTAGAAAATAAATTGTTAAAGCAAGTAAAATATATTAGATATTATTTGGTAATTTGATTATATTAATTTCATGGTTTGATATAATTACTTAAAAGATTATGGCTAATAGTTCTTAAATAATTTATGATTAATTTACAGATATTTTATTTTATTATTATTTATTATGATATTTTTAAGGGTTAAATGTATTTTTAGTCCCTTAAAAATAGGTGAGTTTTGCTTTTGGTCCCTGAAATATAATTTTTGATTAAGTCATCCTTACAAAAAAATGTATTTTGATAATGATCTTTATACGTAATAAAGACTTTTAAGTTGTTGACATAACATATTTATTTTGTACTCAATAGCTTAGTTTTAGATTTGCAATTACTTCAGACACAATTTTGATGTCAATAATTGTGTCTTTTATCAAATTTCATTTCCAATTCTCAAATTTTGATTATATTATATTCGTAAGAAATTTGAGAGCCGGATATATGTAATATGAATAAGTACACAAATTAGGGTTTAGAAATTACATCGGATGTAATTAGAAATACACGACTAATATGTTGAGTATGAAATAAATGTACTATCTCATCTAATTAGAAGTGCTAATTACGTTAAGGACTATTTTTAAATTAAAATATTTTGTCGGGGTGATTTTATCAAAAAATATTTTACAGGGACTAAAACAAATTCTTATTTTATAGGGTATAAAAACATATTTTAACCTATTTTTATTATATTATAAAATAAAAATGATTAAAACAAAATATATTGTTGGGACTTATTATATTACACTAACATTATTTATGATTTTATTATCATTGAGTACTTTTAATTAAGAAAGAGAGATATTTATTTTTCATTAGAATATTGTTTTAAATTTTTATTTTTTCATTTCATTTATAATAATACTTTCAACAAATATATAAACTACCCTCTTCATCTTTAAGAACTTTTCATATTTCTTTATGTTCTGAGTAAGGGAAATTAGTTTTATTCTATTTATTTAAATATTGATGTAAAATAACAAATACTTCTTAATCCCTTTATTAAAATTCTATATATTAAGATATGACTCAATTATTTTTTTTAAATGATCAAGTATTTAAGAAAAATTACTTAGCAGGAATATTTAATTTGACTTTTGTACTTTATCTTGCTAATTTCAGTAAATTTGACCTATTATTTTAATCAAAGAAAGTTTACACTGTAACTTTCCATTTTTAAGATGTAACCTAACATTTATAAATTTATATTGGGTGATAATTCACTATATCGATGCATGAAAATAAAAAAGACGGATGAAGTATGACTCGATTTTCTTTTCTTCATCTTCGCAATCATACAAAGAAATTTAACAAAATGATAGTCTTAGAGATGAAGCGATATAACATAAGATCTGGAGGCCGAGAAACGCGTGAAGATCTTTGAAAATTAAAATTTAGATGCAATGATAATCAATAATTTAAGGAGAACTATGAAGAAGATCTAATGTGTAGAAGTGAATAAGCTTTAGGCTTAGCTACAACATCAAAGAGAAATATAATTTTAATATTGTAACTCTTTGTATTTTATAAAACATTATGTATTGACCAAAATACTTTCACACACTTAAATGATTTTATATTTAAAAAAGAAAGCAAAAAAATGAGTAAAAATTGTGAAATAGTTTTTGTGAAATTTTCATTAAAATCATAGAATCGATAATGTTTTTTATTGCGTTCACATAATTTTTGAAATAATACGAGGGAGAATAATCATTATACTTTTAATGTATTGTAAATTTATATTTCTTAAGGTTTAGACTGTTTGTTTCAGCCTCTTAATGGTTCAGATGTCTGAATGGTTCAGACATTTGCCTCTGAATGATTAAGTATTATACAGAGTCTGAATGGTTAAGACTTCTTATCTGAATTGATCAGATATTTGTCTCTGAATAGTTAAGCAATATACTAGCACTTAATGGTTCAGATCTCTTACTGGTTCAGCAGTTGATGGTTCAGACCTCTTACTAGTTCAGGGCACTCCAAGAGGCGACGACCTTCATGTTTGCTGGCTTCACTCCTTCAGCCGTGCGACCGGCTTCCGCCGCACCAATTGTCTGCAACGCCGCTGTCGGCTGGGAAGACGACAAGTCCTAGAGGTGATTTGATTTTTGATTTTCTAGACTTGGCTTTTTGTAATTTACTCCGTATTAAAAATCTGTTCTAATTTTTTCACTTGCTCCAATTTTGACTAATCGATTGTCATTAAAAATTTTGTCTAGATTAATTTTGGATTGTAGAAGCTTGAAGATAGAAGCAATTGCGGTGGAAATTAGGTTGTATTGTTCTACACTTCTAGTTTCGAAGATTTGGTTTTATTGATTGTTTTTTTGTTTTAGATAATTAACTAATCATGTTTAAAAAACATGAATCTAGATATGAAAAAAAGGTTGATAAATTAACTCCATCTCAAAGAGGAGCATTTGATAAGTTTGTTATGAAACAACCACATGTCTTTTTTTTATTAAAATGAAAATATTGGTGATAATAATGTGGGTAATGGAAATATTGAGAACACAATAATGATTGTGGAGACCGTTTGAACGATATGAAAATATTTTTGGTTTCTTTGCACATTTGAAAAATTTAGAGGAGTTTATAATTTACTTCTATAAGTTCATAGTTTATGCCTTTAGTACTTTTTAAAAAACAGTCAGATCCCGTTCATGTGACATGCACTTTGAATGTCATAGCATGACCGGAGCCTCCTCAGGATTTTATCGATAAAATTAATGGTTCTTACCTCTGCGTCTCCTTGCACCTCTTCCTCATCGCCGATTGGCTACAGTGGTCGCTGTAGCTAATCTCGGCGAAGGGAAGGGTCGGCGAATGAGAGGAAGGGCCAGGGGTGTTGGGAGAGGTTAGGGTTAGGAACCATCAATTTTACCAACAGAACTCGGTAAGAGGCTCGAGTCATGCTATGACAATGATCTCAATGTCAAATGAATCCGCCCGAAAAACAATACTTTGTCATTTTGTTCGTTACTGTAGTGAAATTTATTTTCAAGGGCCCATATATTTATTTTAGCTCCAGTATATTTGAAATATTCGATTTGAAATATTCGAATTTGAATATCTATATTCAAATATGAATCACGAATTGAACAAAATTACTAATTTATTTTGTCGCCTTAGGTTGCGTTTCGTTTGCATGATCTTTGATTTTTTGAAGATCAGATTGGATCTGATCTGATTAGATCTAATTTGATATCATTTTAGTTATATTTAAAACCGTTTTTGACCTAATCTAATCGGGTCTGATCTGATTAGGTTTGATGTTGTCTAATCTTTTTTTATACTCCCTCCGTCCCAAAAAGATTTACACGTTTCAAAAAAATTGTGTCCCACAATCCCTTACCCATTTCTATTAAAAAATCACTTTTACCCCTTACTTTTTCAAACCCTACCTATCACATCATACCTTTTCCTAATAATCTACACATCACATCCTACTTTTACCCATCACATCAAGGGTATTTTTGGAAAGTCAACACAAAATTATCTTTCCCTTAATTTCAACTTTAGTCAAAATGGGTAACACTTTATGGGACGGAGGGAGTATATAAATAATACTCCCTCCGTCCCTCTGTATTTGTCCACTTTCATTTTTACACACCATCCAATGCAGTTTTTTAATCCATTTTATCTTGTAATTTGTATATTAAAAAATTATAAAAATTATATATTAATAATCTATATGTTAAGACAAATCAAACAAGATCACACATGACTATATTTAGGCTTACACATTGAGAGAATTTGATGAGTCAAAGTGCTTAGATGAACAGTCAAAAGTCAAATGTAGACAAATACAGGGGGACGGAGGGAGTAAGTAGTAAGCTGAAAAAGTAAGTTGAATAGAACGGGCTGTTAGTTCTAACTTCTAAGTTCTAGCCACACGCTTGGCAATTGGCACAAACAAATATTTACATTGGTAGTACATGAAATAAACTTCATTTTACCTATATTTTCTCCCATCCAAGCACTTCTCCTCCGCCAGTTAATTCTCTGAGCATTAACCAAAAACAAAAAAAAAACAAACACATGGAAGAAGATGATGAAGAAGAAATTGGCAGGAGCGTTTTGATGCAAGTCCATTCTACTCCAGCCAATGATCAGATCATCATACATTTTCCCAAAGAATGGAGCGGAAGAGGACGTTAAAGTTGAGCTGGGATGAGCTTGAGGGAGGGGAGGAAGATGACGATCAGTTCTTTGATCCCCGTGACAGGCTTTCATGCGCTGTTCCTATCGACTTGGCCACATTTAATTCACAAGAGGAAGAGGACGACGACGATGAGTTCGAGGATAGCCGGCTCTCTCTTTCCTCCACATGCCTTGAGATGGAGGAGAATAATCATCATCATCATCATCATCAAGAGGCCCCACAATCTATCATGGGAGAGGATTATAGAATGTGGATGGCGGACCCCGGCGACATCAAGGAGCGCCGCAAGCGCCTTCTCCAAGGCATGGGCTTGGCGAGCTCACGAATCGTCAGGGCCATTTCAAGAAAGCCCTCACGTCTTCCGCCTCCCAAACCTTCTGCTTCTTCATCCAAAAATGATAGCAATAAGCCCGAAAAAGACATGCCGAGGCAAGAAACTCTGAATCCCCCCTCAGATGATACTCCTCCTCCCCAGGGGAAGGAGAAGGGAAGGGAGGTGGGGACAACAACAGAGTTTGTCCCCATTGTCCTCGTTCGGTCAAGATCGGATGGGGACATAGAATACTCCTCCGTGGAAACGAAAAGGAGGAAAGAAGAATTAATCGGCCCCATATCCAAACAACGCCTAACAAGAACCTCATCCGGATTAAGAACCTACCGAACCGCCGGAATTAGCAACCTCGCCGCCGGTCCGGTGATTGTGGCAGCGCAACCGAAGAAGTGGAAAACCAGACGGCGGGCCCAGGCGAGCGCGACGGACGAATGCTTTGGTTCGTTCTTCTTGATAAAGAATTTGGACACTGGAAAAGAGTTCATCGTGAAGGAGTGCAATGAGAACGGGATGTGGAACAAGCTGAGCGATCTCCAGACAGGGAAGCAGCTGACGATGGAGGAATTCGAGAAGCACGTCGGGCACTCCCGTTTGGTGAAAGAATTGATGCATAGGGGAAGAAGAGACAATAAGATGGTAAACATGAACTCATATATCAGCAAGAGTTTCAGGTATGGTTAGATGATTTAATTTTGTTACAAGTATAAACATTGATCAATTTGTACTCATCTACTCTTCATTTGAGTCAGTTTGGTCTAGAAATCATGAATTGAGGTCTCACCTGCACATTTTTTTTATTTTTTTAAAAATAATGTGCATTTGCAAGGTTTCAATAAAAATCTACAAAATTTACAAATCCTCAGGTATAGTAAGAAAACAAGCGTAGCTCTAATGAAGAACATAAAGGGAGTGGCAAACTCAATGAGCTTTAAGGTGATGAACGAGAAAGATCATATGGACGAGAAGAAGCAGCAAAAGAAGAACTCATCATCGTCTTCGTCCGAGTGGATTAAAGTCCAGCAACAGGGGAAAAGCCACAAGGAATTCACGGGCTTGCAGCTGTGCCAAGAAATCCAGGCGCACGACGGCGCAATATGGACCATCAAGTTCAGCAATGACGCCCGGTTCTTGGCAAGTGCCGGAGAGGATAGAGTGATTCACATTTGGGAGATTCAGGAGGTTGAGGTTGTTCGGCCGCCACCTCCGCCGGAGGAACGCGGTGGAGCTGCCACTCCTCTTCACCCGTCGTTGCTCGCCGGAAAGGGAAAGAGTGCTTCCACTAAGAAGAGGGATAGTGTTATCCCGGAGTATGTGAGCATGCCGGAGACTGTGTTCGCCTTCTCTGAGAAGCCCGTTTGTACTCTCAATGGTCATCAAGATGAAGTTCTAGACTTGTCTTGGTCTAAATCTCAGGTCAGATTCTACTCCCTTCCTCCTAAAATAAGAAGATACGTGATACTTTCACCATTAATATCTCTATTTTTATGTAAATTGATTTTATAAAAAGTACTTCATATAATGTATTAACACGAATTAAAATATACAGAGTATTTCCACACTCTTTCCGTCCCATATCTTTTCTTCCCATTTTGATTTTTCTGACAAATGTTTTTAAACTCCGGAATGCAAATTACGGAAGTAATCTATTGAATATCGATACAAATATAATATCAATAGATTCACTCTACGCAACGTAGTTTTCACCATCGTCTAATTGTAAAAAAAATTAAAGTTTCACGTGTAAGGCTTGAAACGACCACTCCTGCACGTCCGTGGTGAGAGGGATGAGGTTATGCCTAAGTTGGTTTTGGTTCCTTGACAATTTTTACTTGTGTTGGCGTGCAGCTTCTCCTTTCGTCATCAATGGACAAAACGGTTAGGCTATGGGACGTTGAAAACCAGAAGTGCCTGAAAATGTTTGCACACAATGATTATGGTGAGTGAGTAGGTGAGATGCTAAAATTGACATTAATTAAGTACTCTCGATTGACAACAATTGTTTATGCATCCAAATGTTAGATACTGTAAGTAACTTGTGGAGTATATTTTGCACTGCAAATTTGAATGCAGTGACTTGCATACAATTCAATCCGGAAAACGATGACTATTTTGTGAGCGGTTCACTTGATGCCAAGGTTCGGTTATGGAATGTACCTGGCCGGAAAGTTGTCGACTGGACTGACCAGAAAAATATGGTCACTGCCATTGCCTATACCCCTGATGGTGAGGTAATATTATAATAATAATAACAATAATAGTAATACTCCGTAATAAATAATGATAATGATCATGGAAATTAAAAGTTCTTATTTTTTTATTGTTTTTGATGTGGAAGGGTGTGATAATTGGCCTACAAAAAGGAAGTTGCAGGTTGTATAGAATCACTGGTAAGGGATTACTGCTCAAGTGTTTACCATATTCTGTCTGGGAAACCATTAATGGAAAAAACAATTTATTTCTCCAACCTTAATCACTTCATAGATTGCAAACTTGAACAAGAAGAGCAAGTTGATATTGATCAAAAGAAGAAATCCCAAAATAAGAAGATCACTGGTTTTGAGGTATTGTCCTTTATTTCCCCTTCTTCCTCTAATGAGCTGAGCGCGTAGAGGGCGTCGTGTTTGTGACCTTGCAGAAAACTGAGTTTCGTTTTTTTTTACAGTTTTCCAAATCAAACCCTTCAGAACTGCTCATCACCTCTGCAGACTCCTATATTCGGATCCATGATGGAACAAACTTTACCCAAAAATTTAAAGGTATGTAACATCCCTAAAGTTATTCTCCCTCCGTCCCGAAAAAATCTTTCAATCTGACTTCTTATGTCAAAATAAATTCTGAAAAAGTGTATTTAATTATAATCTAAATTTGATATAATTAAGTTGGAGAACATATTTCCTAAACATGCATCTTTCCTAATGAACATAGATATATATATATATTGATCCGAGGATCTCTAATCATTTGCAACAGGTTTCAAAATCACGAGCAGCCAAATCTCAGGATCCCTCAGTCAAGACGGGAAATACGTGATAAGCGCGAGCGAAGATTCACAAGTTTATGTGTGGAAGAGGGAAGAAGTGAAAAGCAGTGTGGGGGGGAAACCGCGATGCATCTTGGTCCAAGCTCACGAGCACTTCCCATGCAAAGACGTCTCCGTCGCCATCTCATGGCCCGGTAGAATGACAAGGAACGAGCCGCAGCCGCCGCCACAAATGCACCTTCCAAAACCAACCGCCGCCGCCCTTCCACCTCCACATCCTACAACCAAGAGGAGTGCCTTACCACCCCTGCCCAAGAAGAACGGCGGTGCCACCGGAGAGCCAGCTGATCAAGAAGATGATGATGATACAGACGAAAATTCGTCTTCTAATCAGCCTTTGGACAAAAATATGGCTTCTCCTGCTCCGTCTCGGTCGTCGTCCTCCGTGAACCTGCCTGAAGAGAGCGGTGGCGCCACCCAACAAGGAGGTAACGCCACCGTGCAGGCGACGGCATGGGGTATGGTGATTGTGACGGCAAGTTCTGGGGGAGAGATAAGGGTGTATCAGAACTTCGGGTTGCCTGTAAAAGCCAATCGTCAGACCAGTCTCTTCATCACATAGTAGGGTAGATGGATATATGTGTGCAGAGTTTTGATTCCATTAAACTATTGTACTAATAGATTTTGCTTAGGTTTGAAAGGTTTCGAGAAAAGGGGCTTTTTTGTAGAGAGAATGTGTGCACTTCCATAGATTTTGAAGCCCCAACTCCATATGATATGATGACCATTTGACATGAGTTTGTACTTAGATCTCATGTGGATTTAATCTTGCTTGTCCATATTCAATGCAGGGTAATATTCTTTTTGTCTCAAAATTTCCTTTAATTGCACCCCTAACCCCAATAAACTCCCCCAAGGCGCGACCCGAACACCCCTCACCTTTTTCAATTGCACCCCCAATTTAATTTTGACTTTGTAGTTAATTTTGACTCCAAGTATAATTGAAGGGGGTAGGGGTGTGTTCGTGTCACGGGGGGATGGAGGGAACCGTCAATTTTACGGAGTACCGTAGTGATCCCGGGTCATTCCATGACATGAGATTCTAATATCATGGGAATTACCCCCAAATATAATATGGGACCAAGTGATAAGAGTCTATTTGATTCAACAATATCAATTGAAAGAACAAATTTGTAATTACATCTGGGAAAAAGTAATTTGTACCTTGTACAATATTGAACAATCTTCTGCTGCAATGAAAATCTACACCATGTGGCCTCTTAGCTATAAGAAATACAACTTGAAAATATTCTATTAATTAAATGAAATTCAACTAATTAAGTGCTTCATATTATCTTATTCAGTTATACGAGTGTACATATAACTATATTTTCTAAAATCAGTTCAACTCCAAAAAATGTTTTGACTAAAAATAGCTGTTTTAAATCACGATTTCTTGTCTAAACAATTAAATGAGCCTCAAATAAAGTTTCTGAAAATTTTTTTATATTGTTTCACAAGAGAACATTAAATTCTTTGTTTTTTATTCATGTGTGTCGCAACATGCGGCGGAGATGCAGATGTTGTGGTGGGTGTATGGGCAGACAAGGCTAGACAGGATTTCAAACAAAGTGATTCGAGGTCGGTTAGGCATGGCGCCATGGAGGATATAAAATGCGGAAAGCTAGGTTGAGGTGGTTTGTTCATGTGAAACGGTGGAATGCTGACGCTCGGGTGTGGAAATGCGAGAGACTTACATTGATATTGAGAAGTTGGGGAAGTGGTAGACCTAAAAAGAGTTGGAAGGAGGTGTTTAGATATGGCTTAGGACTTCTTGCCCTTACTGAGAATATTACCCTGCATTGAATTGTTGGATAAGGGTCTTGGGCTAGAGGGTGTTATTCTTCTTGTTATATGCTCTGGGTGCCTTATATGCTTGCTACTATTTTCTCTTGGCTTGCGGTATTTTTCCTCCGTTAACTTTAATATGTTTTTTGACTGTGATGCTAGGTGTTTTATCTGTGTTGTAGTTGTGTCATCTCTGCTTTATGTATCTATTGTGATCCTTATATATGTTCAATTTGAGCTAAGGATCTCTTAAAAATAGTTTCTCTACATTCGAGTAAAGGTAAGGTCTGCTTACACCCATCCACACCAGACCCTACTTTCGTGAGATCTAACTGGATTGTTGTTTATTTGTTTTTTATTCACTAAAAATCTTCACCTCTTGTAAGAGAACTGTAATGAGGGTTACTAGATCCATTAATATGAATCACAAATCTTTCTCTTTTTCTAAACTCACAAGCCCATTTGCCACAAAATTATCACCACAACATTTACACTACATCTAGTTTCCTTAAGAAATTATAATAAACTTAGCCCTTTTGTACTTCAAATTCAATTTATTGGCAATAAGGAAATGGAGATTAGATGTAACACCCCAACCCGTGTAATCTGAATTGATAGGTTAGCGAACCAAGTTGCTACTGAATTGGTATCTCATATTGACCCTTGTGTTTTGATTAAAGACAAACGCCTTAATATTTATGGAGGAAGCTCATGGAACTACAATGCTCTATCTACGTTCAAGCAAACATACATGTCAAGACGTTGATTAAGACCTCAAAATTCGAAGATATAAGGTTAGTATTTGTCTTTTGGGGTTCTTAAATTTATTTGTAGGAGTATGGAAAATTCTTTATCTCCCTAACTCAAAATATTTTCTAAGAGATATTTTATTTATCAAGAAAAATGTTTTTCTTTACTTATTTTTTTTATTTAATAAATTTTATTTTTAAAGGTACTTAAATAGATATGTATATTTTTATCCTCTATCCTCTCCAAAATATTTTTATAACTTCTCTCGGGTTACATTCGAATATTTTCAATTTTTTTCAACCATATCCATTTTAAGGAATAACAGTAGTACATTTTAATGTACCAATTGAAATATTCGAATACCGTGAGGTATCCGTTACAATGCAACTGTGGAAAATTATCTAACATTCAAATATTGCATTCCAAGCATCCAAATGTTTCACGAGAATGTGAAAAATGGATAAGATTTTTCTCAACCAACTCCGGCTTATAAATAACCTTCATTTCAAACATTTCAATGCTAATGATCTTACAGGAAAATCCTTTTTATAGTCACGAAAATACTTATTTTTTCCCTTCATTTCGATCAAGAGTTTATGTTCATTTCTTGAGAAAATCAATTGCTTCAATCTAAGAAAAGTATACTACAAATCCTTTGCTTGAGTTTACGAGAAAAAAATCTCTTCCATACTCCATTATGTTTTATAAACGGGCAACAATATGCTCTAAAGGAGTTCATATCCGTTATACAAAACTCTACTGGTATACACTTCGTGTAGGGATATCTTAGTGTTAGGACTACGCTAAGTGGTTGGGTAAAATCCTATTTTGTTTGTGTGATCAAACATTGCTTAAAAATCTTGGTATTGGGACTATATGACCAAGTGGGTTGTAAAAGTCTTAAGGTTGAGACTACATCAAGTGGTTGTTAAGAGCCTTGTGTGACTCAAGTTCTCGAGTGGTAAGGTTTACCAAACACCGTTAAGTTTGGTTGGGCAGTGGAATCTTAGACACAGTTGTGTTGTAGGGATTGGATGTAGGCATTAGGCCAAACCAGTATATATTGTGTCTTCTTACATCTTTTACTTTTCTGCATTATCTTTTACCATTTATTTTTTATTTATCATACTCGCCCGAAACGATTGTCGTAATTGGTAAGCACCTCTATTCACTCCCCCCCTCCCTAGAAATGCACACTGATTCTAACAATTGGTATCAGAGAGGTGACCACTAACGAGTTTTGGAATCTGTAGTCTAAAGATCAAGATGACTGGAAATGTGGGAAGATCTTTCAGTGCCAGAGTCGTAGAAGGACAATCAACCACACAACCACCGTTGTTTGATGGAACGAATTATTCTTACTGAAAAGAAAGAATGAGAATTTCGTTCAGTCCAACAAATATAACTCGTGGTGTGTAATTTCTACATAGAGATACTATTCCCATGCATGTTGTTGAAGGTCTAAGAGTTCCTACGCCGGAAAGTGACTACAACGATGAAGATTTCAAAATTATCCAACAAAACTCAAAGGCAATCAACAATTATGCACGAGTATGAACTTTTTTAGCAAAAAAAGAATGAGAATATCAACAATATGTTTGATAGATTCTCTTACATTGTCAACAATCTTGATACACTCGGAAGGCACTTCGATGAACATGACGTTATTCAAAAAAACCTATGAAGTATGAGGCTTGAATGGGAATCTAAGGTCAATGCTATCGATGGAAGAAGAGATTATGACATTCTGACATATGATGGCCTTAGAGGAAAGATTTTGACATACGAAACTTAAAGCCTCAAATGAGGACATTACTCATGATGCCAACTCATCGGAGGAAGAAGAAAGTCCTGAACTTACATTTGTTATCAAAGGATTTAACAAGTTCATGAGAAAGCAATTCAATGGCAAGAAGGACTTCAACATGTCAAAGAAAATAGTGAAGAACGTTCTAAAATGTTATGAATGTGAGAAACTATTAAAGTGGAGGACTACGCCACCCGCGGCTTAGTTCTTGATCAACTCTAACCACCTTTGTTGTCTCAATTTGAGCTCTTTCTGAGCCAGCAGGCATTTCAAACTCTTGTGGTCCGTGTGTATGTGAGTCGTCTTACCAAATAGGCAATGTCGCCAAATTTTCAAGGCAAAAACTACTATCGCTAATTCTAGATAATGCGTATGGTAGTTAACCTCATGTGGTTTTAACTGTCAAAAGTTTCTTTTCGTGTATGACTAATCATTCCTTCTACTCGAGGGTTCCTTTCATGCATCACCGATCATTCCTTTTCCTAAATATGCAAAATTCATTACCAAATCAATGTCGATTTTTTAGTGTTTCTTCATTTCCTTTTGTTATTCTTGATTTTATTTTTTTTATTTTTCTTGTAAGAGCTTATTAATTTTTTCTGTAGCCACTCTTTTATTTTATTTTTTTTAAGTAAAAAAGAGTGATAAGAAAAAAAAAATGTAGAATATTCTTTTGGTTTTGAGTTTGGTGTAATGAGTTGGAGATAAAATAATATTTGATTTGACATTTACTGCATTTTGAGTTTGAGTATAAGGTAAACTGTTAGAAATGGTCTTACTCTTTATATATGATCTGTCAGCATACATTTACAAAGTATTCTTTAATGTACGTATGTGTCTTATTCCATTTTTCATAAAATTATTATCCACAAGACCAAACTTTAACCACATTCTTTACTCATTTGATAAAAATAATGTAATCATGTAACCTCTAAATTTTAAGAATTTTAAATGTAGTTTTCAAATAAATAAATTCTACAAATTTAATCTTATACCAGTTTTTAAATAAAATGAATTGAAAAATATATTCTGGCGAACCTCATAAACAAAGGGCGATTTAAATTGCAAGGAATGGAGTAACATTTTTAATGTTTTTGCTGTGCATCATACATGTGTCGTACTAGTTACATAATACATAAAAATGATGTGGGTTGAAGAAATGACTCTTGATTAGGATTGATTTCACTCGAATTTTTTATTCTATCAATTCAAAATTGCAAATGGCCCTAACCACCATCCATATGATTTTACACAAAAGAAAAATTTAAGAAAAAAACAACTACAAGGCCTAGATCAACAAGTATGACAACACATGGGGCGCGCGGGAGATCGATCTCACATGAACGAACGCTTGCTTCACGAATAGATAACTCAAAGCTTATAAATTACCTTAAGCGTTTTACCTATGTAATAATGGATTGAAGGTAGGAAGGGGAGGCAGATGTTGAGGTAATTGTAGTGCAGGTGATTGGTGAGGCATTGTTAGATGTTGCTGCAGTGGTGGTGGCGGTGGCGGTGGCGGTGGCTGGGCCAAGGGAACCAAGAATGTGGAAGATGGGATCCTAGGGTAGCCATATGATGCAACAATTCCACCTGATGGCTGCTGAATATATGTCTGCATGGGCGGCGGTGGGTTTGGAGGAAGTGAGTGGAAGTGATGGCTCTGCTGCTGCATTGTCGGGTGTTGCAAAACCAGCACCGATTGGTAAGGAGGAGGAGGAGGTGGAGGGTTCGCCGGCTGTGAAGGCATAATAACAGGAAGGGGTCGTTCTGACATTGGCAACGAATAGTTTGCCGTATTGATGGTGGGTGTCGGCAGGGGTGGCGTTAATGGGAACGCCGCTGGAGAGGCATTCGTATGCCCGGCGTTCTTTGCTGCCTCGGCAGCAAATGTGGAGAGAACTGATGACATGATATACTGAGAAGACGTGGATGCTGTGAGCTTGTCCGCGACCTCCGCTGCAATTGCTGCAGCCGTCTTTTTCCCATCTTTGGCACTTAGTTCAGCCGTTGTTGAAGGCTTTGAATCCGCCACATAACTTTCATCATCTAAATGTCTCCGCATGTCCCTAGATTCCTCTGTCTGAGCCTGCGCGACCTGCAAAATCAATTACGTATATATAAAAAAAATTAGTGAATCTTCAAAAGGGTCGTAACCTATGGAGATAACTGAAAACTAAAGATTGTATTGCCTCGGAAAACAAACCTGTATCTGAGTGCGAACATTCTCTAGCTCAGATTCCTGAAAACATATTCTTAAAAATTTTACTATTGACTGGGTAGAAAACTGGCATAGAGTTTAACATTACAATTACAACAAACCCAGTATAATCCCAAAATGTTACAATTAGACCCTTGACCCGTTGATGGATCAAAGTTCATTTAGTCCATTAATTATCCAAAGCAAAAACATTGTGAAAATGATCCGTTTAGCTTCAGCTGCAAGGGATGCAGGAGTAGAAAATTTGACATTATTTTTGGCTACCCAGTTACCTGTTCATTTAACGATTCTCTTAACCGACACACAAGGGTAGATCTGTTTGCTTCAACTACTTTAAGTTTCTCAATGCATTTCTTCAATGCATTTTCTTCCTCCTCAAGCTCTTTTGACAATATCTTTCTGTTTGGATCACTTGCTGTGCGATGAAAATGGAGAAAATCACCGGACCACGTTAGAATGCAAATACCATTGCATGCAAACAAAGTGATACGATGCCCCTCTAAAAACAGCTGAATAAATTGACACTCAAAATAAACATTAGCTTAAGAAAACATTAGCAGCTTAATATCAACACTGGTTTCATAATCGACCAGGCAGTCTACCTGTTGTAAGGGTTGTATCAACATCTTTCTCAATCTTTCTTATTCTGAGGACTGCAGACTTGCATTTACTCATTTCTTCCTCTTCACTGGTGATCTCACTAAGCACCAAATGAAGTGCTGACACTATTTTTTCAGCTGGTCCTCCAATTGACAATTTCTGGTTTTCAAGTTTAATGAGAATAATAATGTCAATAACACTTCAAATATACAGTCGAAGATAAACCACGGTATAAGCTGCACTACAGAGGGTGGGAAAAGAAAAACTTGAAAACCTCACCGTTCTTAAGGACCTTGAATCCCTTTTCAATATCTTGACAGAACGAGACCTTTTCCTGTGAAATTGCAATGGTGCGGGCAATTCATTCCCAAGCATAACATCATTAAGGCTCTTAGACTGAGATCCAAAAACCTTCCTCTCTTCCCATATTTTAACCTATCAACCATTTAATCAGTCAATGAAGCATGTCATATTCATAAAAAATTATTGGGCATCTTGGTTCCTTGAAATTTACACACATTTAAAAAAAGAATATTGTAGATTGGCTTCGGTTTTTATATCATTTTCAGCAATTGGTTCATGTCCATTCATTCATTTAAAGTTGGGTATGCATTTTTTAAGAACATAATTGCATTAATTAAAATAACGGAAAACAAATTCATGGGAGCAGGAACAAAATCCATGCGCGTAAGAAATGCAAATAACATAAAGTATATGCCAGAACAAACTTGTAAACAAGTAAATACTAATACAGGAGCTACAAAAACAAAAGCTATCAAAAAGGTAAGTCAGACACCACCAAATTGCAAGAATGTGCATAGATAACAAGACGCCCTATCTAGATAACAAAAAAGGCATAAATTAAAAAAGAATGACACATACCAATCTAGAGGCTACATTCCTTGCACTACTATCGCCATTCTCCACCAAATCTTTGACTGCAGAAGGAAGAAACTTCCAGAACTCTGTGACAAACTCATTTCCGTTCCGCTTGCTGTTCTGTAGTATATCATTAGCAAGATAAAGAAGTGGGACTTTAAGGACCATCTCAGAACTCTTGAATTGCTTATCCCATGTTGCAGCTACCTGCTCTGCTTTACTCCGGTGGAAAATACACCAATGGGACAATGCTACATTGAATGTTAAAATAACAAATGCTAAGATGTATCCCCAATCATGAAAAAACATTCGGTAAGACGCTTTGTGAAGATGTATTGAGAAAAAAATTGGCATGGAACTGATCCAGCACCAAATATCTCACAGAACCCCTTACAAGCTTTAGAAATTATGCGCATGAAAGCAAAATCTAGTTGAAACTTCATGATGTAAACCTTATCACTCAGCAAATTATGCACTCATGCAAATGATATACCCGAGACCCGGGGTCTTAACGAGTTACTATTTTGAGGAGGAATTAAGGAGTGATGCAGCCTTAGATTGAGAGTTCTGGGACACGCAATAATCGATTATGGGATTCGACAATCGATTATGTAGTGATGCTGCAAAACGAAGGAACTTCTGGGATGCCGGATAGTCGATTGACACAAGTGTGATAATCGATTA